ACAAAGTTATATTTAATATATTATGGTTTTCTATTGCCTTAATAAGATATAATAAAATCCTATTTCAAATTTTAATTCGAAAAAATCAATTTGAATAGTAAAATCCTTTAATTTATATAATTATTATTAGTAAATCATTTATTACTTTAATATTGAGTATAGTAATATCTAAATATAGAAAAAGAATAATAATAGATTTCAAGGCGATTTTTAATATAATAAAAGAATATTTAATTTAATATTTCAAAAATAATTATAATTCTAATATATTTATATACTTTTGGATTTATATGCAAAATTAATTAAAATATATATAAAAATAAAACAATTCCTATAATTGAAAAGTATTATTATCTATTTTTTAATAGTATATTTAAAATAATATTCTAAATAAGTTCTCTAATTTGAATAACTTCAAGAATTTATAATTTATAAATATTATTTGTATTATTATTATATAAAATAGATAAAGTAATAAGAAGAGATTTATAATATTAAAGGAAAGAAAATATCGAAATCAAGATTCTATAAACTTCTCAAAAAGTAAGTTTTGTATTAAAAGAAATCGAGTTTTATTTAATCTAATATTTTATAAAAGTATTTGAATAAAATAAAGATTTAATATCTGATTTCAAAGATTAATAATATTGAGATATTTGGAGAAATATTATATATTCTATTAAAACAGAATTATTATCTTTTTTTAATATTAATAATATAAATATTTAAGAATCAAATATAATATTAAGCTTAATAAAAATAATACTAATTTTATTAAGAACTTTGTTATTATAATCCCAATCTATTTATAATCTTGAGGGGAGTAGTCTGGAAACCAAGGATTCATTAGATATTGAGAGACAAGATAATATTAATGAATAAGAAAGTATTAATAAATAAAAGAGTATTGATGAACAATTTAGTATTAATAAATAGAATAATATTAATAAATAAAAGAGTATTAGTAAATAAAATAGTATTAATAAAGAGCCTTTTGAAAATAAAGGGAAATATATATAAAGGGAATATAATAATTTGTACTTAAAAAGAATAAGAAAAGGTTAAAGGATAATATACTCTTATTATTATAATATAATAAAAAAGAGTTATAATATATTAAAGCTTTCTTTATTTAGAATATTTGATTGAAATAGTTGAAACAAAAATTCAACTCAAAAGAATAAGAAGATTCAAAAGAATACTCTAATAATCCCAGATATCAAATAAAGAAAAAGTAATCATATTGAAATATAAAAAAGAAATCAAATAAATACACAATCTAGAAACTTAATAATAAAGATATTACAATCTCAGAAATAAAAAGGAATAAGAAGAAATAAGAATAAACTAATTGCAAAACTTATAATACTATTTTTATATATTTTTTATTTATAATTTTGTAATTCATATAAGGTCTTAATTTATATATTCTCAAATTTTTATATAAATATATAATTCAAAATATGATAATCGATTTATATATAAATATATATTTCAAATATAATAAAAAATAATGATATTTGAATTTGAATATAAAAAGGGATAATAAATTCTATCGAAAATGATAAAATATCTTTAAAATAAAAAACTTTTATTATATATAATAATCAGATTAATTATATTAATATTTTAAAAACAATTTATTTAATATATAATAAAGGTATTATAGAATTTATAGTAATTACAAAAGAATCACTTCATTAATTATAGATTCTGCTACCACAGAGTACATCACCTATCAAGACTGCCGAAAAACCAAGTACTTTGACACCATACCGAAGAAAACAAGTTGCAAATAAGATACGGAAATTTCAATACCTGCGAAAACTAGACCAGAAAAAGCCAGACCAAAAAAATTGGACTTCCGAAAAACTCCTCCAGTACCTGCAGAGCCATTGCTCCTGTCAGGATTTACACCATTTGTGACCCATGAACATCAAATCCATCCATCCATCCTCTCAATCAACCTTCCTCAAACCCCTTTTCAAACCGCAAAGCCCTTCCCATTTTCCGAGTAATCTTATCGCCTTAACTCCGCCACAATGCCGCCAACCAATTTCAGAAACCATTGAAGAACTCCAGCTCGAGAGCAACCATTTCCCTGTAGTGGCAAAGTTAATATTCCAGACAAAGATAAATTCAATATAAATCCCTATACAAATTTTTATTTTATACATTACGATATTGATATATATATTCATTAATAACAAATAGAGCTTTTTATTACTAATAAATTAAATCGGTTCTTTTTGTAACCCGTTTATTATTGAATTTTGATTAAAAAAAAGAAAATAAGAACCTTAAAAGGCCTTAAAGCTTTCAAGATTTTCGAATATTAAAGTTATAGGAATAGTAGATGGAAAGGTATATATGTAGAAGATCAAAAAGGTAAATAGGAGCTAGAGGAGAAAAGGGGAATAAGTGTAGAAGCCAAAAGGTGGATAGAAGGTATTAGTTAAAAGTTTAAAGAGAAGTGGAATTCTTTTTATGAGTTATATTATATAAGGAAAATCTATAAAAAAGGTTTCAAATAAAATCACAAGCTATATTATTATACTATGTAATATAGAATATATTATATAAACAAGAATTTGACCTGACTTCAATTTATATATCAATAAATCAAAATTTTTATTTGAATTCAGTAAAAGATTCAAAATAGAAGTATAACAAAAAGATTAGTAATCCTTAATAGATTCTAATTGAAATATTTAAAAGATTTTTTTTATTCTTTTATTGAAATCTAATAAGAGATCAATTTAGAAAGAAAAGAAGAGGAAGAGGGGGGGTTGAAAAACAAGTAAAATCTAGAAACTTTTTATTTAAAAGATAATTGTTACCTTAGACTGAAACTTTTATTTAACTTTCTAAAATTTAAGAAATTTATTAAATCCTTATTAATTAGAATAAACTTTATAAAATATAGAGATTTAGATTAATTATATTAATACTTTAAAAACGATTTATTCAATATATAATAAAGGTATTATAGAATTTATAGTAATTACAAAAGAATTACTTTATTAACCACAGATTCTACCACCACAAGGTTTCTACAAAATTTCAATTCCTCCAGTGATTATTTCCTTCATTTCTCCATTTCACCATAAAGTTATAAGCATTTCAGGTTAAATCATTACATAAGAGTAGCTCCTTGCCTAAGGGAACATCTCGTTGCAATTTCGCCACCGCTTTCATTAATGCCGATAGCCCTGTGGTGGCAAAGTTAATATTCCGGACAAAGAGAAATTCAATATAAACCCCCATACAAATTTCTATTTCGTACATTACAATATTGATATATATATTTGTTAATAATGAATAAAACTCTTCATCACTGACGAATCAAATCGGTTCTTTTTGCAACCCGTTTATTATTGAATTTTAATGGAAAAAAAGAAAATAAGAGCCCTAAGAGGCCTTAAGAATTTCGAGATCTTCGAATATTAGAGTTGTAAATAAGGTGGACAGAAGAAAGCGAGTATACAAACTAGGAGGAGGTCAAAGAGGTGAACTAAAGCTAAAGGGGAGAAGGGGGGAATGAGTGTAGAAGCTAGAGGGTAGATGGAAAGCATTAGCCGAAAGTTTAAAGGGGAGTAGACTCTTTCGGAAGTATATCATTTTCAATTTATTCTTCAATCACAAGCTTTACTATTATACTACAAATACATAATGCATTAAATAAGCAAGAATTTAGCTTATTTCCAATCTCTATATAAATAAATTCGAATTTAATAAAAGATTCAAGATAAAAGTATAATAGAAAGATTAGTAATTCTTAATAGATTCTAATTGAAACACTTAAAAGAATTTTTCTATTATTTTATTGAAATCTAATAGGAAATCAATTTAAAAGGAAAAGAAAAGGAAGAGAGAGGGGGGGGTTTGAAAGCAAGTAAAACCTAGAAGCTTTCTACTTAACAGATAATTGTTGCCTCAGGCCGAAACTTTCAATTAACCTTCCAGAATTCAAGAAATTCACTAAGAACTTATTGATTAGAATAAGCTTTGTAAGGTATGGAGACTTAGATTGATCATATTAATACTTTAAAAACGATTTATTCAATACATAATGAAGGTATTGTAGAATTTATGGCAATTACGAAAGGATCACTTCGTTAACCACGGATTCTGCCACCACAGGGTAGGAGAATAAACCCGTGTATGAGAATAAGTCCTCGCCAAAGGAAATATCTACTTTCCAGGTTGCCTCTCCTATTGTCTTCTGTTAATTGGAAGATTGCGTCAAAAATGAGAGTAGCTCCTTGCCCAAGGGAATATTTTATGCTATGTTGCCTCCGTATGATAAAGTTTTTGATAGAAAGTGATATGTCAGAATGAGTACAGCCTCGCCAAAGGAAGCACCCATCTTTCACATTTCCTCCTATCATATACCTTTAAGAAAGGAGAACAGAGTCTGTCAAACCATCCCTTGCCTAGGGGGATGAGTAAAAACTGATTCCGTTCATCCCAACTATGGTGCGTAGTCGTGCAAATGTTGATGTTTAGGTGTGAGGTGTTGGAAGGAAAGAACTGAAAGTCGAAAAAGAATTGTCAGTGTGCAGAAATTGCGAGAATGGTTTCTCGTTACTTGTCGTTGAAATTTAAAAAGTAAAAGAACTCGTCATAAGAACCATCGAAAAAGATATCCTGCAAAAGAAGTCACACAAATACTCCATTATTGAAGACGCGTCCGCCTTCTCAGGGAAATTCATGCTAATTCGACGTAAGGTATTCAATATCAGATGAGCCTCATACCGTGGAGTTGTTTGGAACGAGTTGCGGATTTTTTCGTCATGGTAGAGAACGTTGAATGAGTTTCATTCGAAGTTTGGTTAGGACCATTTGGAAGGGTCGCCGCCCTCGCAAAAAAAAAGACAATCAAGCCCGAAAAATAAAGGAGAGAATAACATAGAAATACAGATAATCAAACTTCTTTGACGGCCCATATGCTTAAAGCAAGTATGGTGCAGTAAGTACTTGTCGAAATTCCTTGAGATTTAACCCTCGCGAGAAAAGAATCTCGCAACACGTTCACCAGAAGTCTTGAAAACGTCCCAAGTAACGACTGACTTGACCTTGGCAACGATTCGGTACAGGTAAATTATTCCGCTTCGGTGTAAAATTGGGGTCAAGTAGTCGGCATAGTTCGGAAGAACAGCACCTGTTGTGACCTGAGGGAATTGGACAGAAGCTGAAGCTGTTGCTGGGATTACCGCTAACTGAAAGGTCGTGCGGGTCGCAAGAAGAGGTGCGTTCATTGTGGCAATTGGAATAATTGCCGGTCTTGGTGCATCAATTAATCGAACCACCCCCGAGGTAGGGGACATGCCAGAGTTTCTCAAGCAGCCAGTCCAAAGAGAGGTTAACAAAAGGATGAAGAAAACCATTGACCAAGAGTAAGCCTTAGACCTAGGAAGTGATTTTCCCTTAGTAACAATTACTGGGATTGGAGTCTGACCATCAATCAATGAGCCATTCATGGCTGAGGCATTACGTTCAGCGGTCTCGTGTACAAATGTTGAAGTTGCAGGATCGGACGTGACAATACCTGCCAGATTGAGGCTGTTTTCTTGTCCTTCAAAAGCCATGACAGATGGCTGGCTAGTTTGAATTTCCTGACCGGGCATTGTGGAAGATGTTAAAAGTGCTTCCTCGATTTCTGCCTTAACGCTTTCAACTAACTCTTCTCGGAGTTCGGCCTTGATACTTCCAACCAACTCTTCTCGGAGCTCGACCTTGATGCTCTCGACCAACTCTTCTCGGAGCTCCGTCTTGATCTCTTCGGTGAATTCGGCTTTGGTATCGGCTTTAGCGCTTTCGAGTCTAGATCGGATGGTCGCCTTCATGAGCGCAATTTCAGACTCGTCTGATTTAAATAAAGAGGCTATGGATGGTGCGTCGCAGGCGAGGGTACGGGTGCGAACCGGAGTTACTGATTCCTCTTCTAACTCAAAAAGGCCTTCTTGATCAGTTACGTTTGAGGGTGAAAACTCCGCAAAATGGGCCCTGAGCCTCGAACTTTTACTCATTCCTGCAAGACGAATGACATCAGCAGAGTGATTTTTCTTCCACTCTTTATGAGCATTTTGCTCTTTAACAAGTAGCTCTGCTGTCTCCGCCAACTGTTTCTCTGCCAGCTTCGCCTTCTTATCGGTCTGCCCAAGGATAGTCTTCACAGATTCAATCTCTGTTTGAAGCTTGGTCAAATCGTTTCGCATTAGTTTGGTGGCAGATTGGACTTCAAGGACCGAGTTTTTGGCAACACCAAGTTCACCTCTCAGTTTTTTCTCTTCCAACTCAGCAGCATTAGCAGATTTTTTGGCTTCCAAAACAAATTTTCGGAGAGAAGCTTCACTAGTAGAAGCTTCAGCTTTAAGTCGCTGAACCATCTCATCCTTCTCCTTGACCATTTCCTGGTGTTGATTTTGTACAAGGCACAACTTATTCTGGTGACCTTCAATCGCCGCATTCTTCTTCTGGATAATGTATTGATGGGTTTGTTGGATAGAGAGCAGCTTTTCCTCGTGGTCTTTGTGAATCTTCGTGATATCGGCCTCAAGCGTGGTGATCTTATTTTGATAAATGGTCTTCTCGGATTCAAGATTTTCGATTGACGTGCGAAGCTGTTGAATCAACTTCGCAGAATTGGAGGAATTGAATTCGAGGAGAGCTTGGTTAGCGGCGGTTATGGTCTGGTCTTTGGCTTCGATAGCTTGCGAGCGTTCAGCATTGGCATTGGTGAGGTCATTCTTGACTCTGTTAAGCTCTTCCTGGAGTAATTGAATGTTTTGATTCAAACCATCAACGGTGGCAGCTTTTTGGGTGGTTTCATGAAATTCTGGCTTCATTCTCTCGATCTCCGCCATGATGGAGTTAAGTTCGGCCTGTTTCTCCCGTTCTTTTTGCTCAGAATGATTGAGCTGTTGTCTGGTATCGTTCAGTTGCTGTTCAAGTTGGTCTCGCTCACTGGTGAGTGACTGAATCGCTTCATCAGAAATATCTTGTGCTCTAGCATCATCAAGTTCCTTTTGTAATTGGTCTCGCTCCTTGGTGAGAAACTTAATCGCTTCATCAGAAATATCTTGTGCTCTAACATCTTCAAGTTCCTGGCTGAGCTGGTCTCGCTCCTCGATGAGTTCGTCTACCTGGACGTCTAACTTCTTACACTCACTCTCACGTTCATCGAAAGCCTCTGTGAGTTCGTTGTATTCTCCTTGTAAAGTGTCCATATCGCTTTTGTGGCACATTTTCTCAGCATCCAACACGTCTTGAAGGGCTTGGATTTTATGCTCCTTGGCTTGATCCTCGCTCTCGAGATCATTGATTCTCTCCTTTAGATCATCGATTTCCTTCTTTAGCTTCTCGTTATCTTGAATCATTCGACGATTGAAGGTGTTCAATGTTTTCTTTTCGGTGGTCAGACGTGCGATCGTGGAGTTGCTCTCAGGGGTGTTCTGAGAAGCTGGATCAGTCAAACTTGCTCCTTTGCTAGTATAACCAAGAAGCTCATTGATCTCCTTTGTCTTCTCCATTTTCTGCTTCTCTAATTCGCGAACCTCTGTTTTGAGATCGACGATTTCAGCCTCAAGCATGTCACATCTTTCTTTGCTATCCTTCTTGTGGGCTTTGAAATCCTCGTCAAGAGCTACGAGCTGAAACTTCAGCGCGTCTTCGTCGATTCTTTTGCCGCCATTGAATGAAATTCCGAATATCTTCGATGAATGGAATTTATTGTTCCCATCCGCAGATACTGGAAGCCGTTAGCACAGCTCACATAAAGATTTTGAATACCAGATATCATACCGGTTCCGTACATTCCCGCGCCGAATATTACCGCTTCTTTCTTCTCCGCTGGTTCGGTTCGTACAACTCCTTGACTACCTTGCTGTGGGGTGACCACACCAGGCTCTGCAATTTATTAGCGTAATTCACATAGAGAATTTAAAAAAGAACATCGTACCAGAACCGAGGCAATCTCCCATCTCCGTGTCTACGGGCGGTTGAGTTGCGGGACCCTTGTTAGAAGCTGGTCTCTGGGTGAGCATATGGCTCAAAGACGGCTGTTGTGGAACTTTTTTCTTCCTCGGGTCGAAAAGAGCAGGCTTGACGCCTGGGGCTAAGTTGTCGAGACTGTTCTTGGACATATTTGAAACTGTCCGTAGAATCAATTAGCAAACTGTGCAGAGCATTTGGGCGCCGAAGATAGATTGGATGAATTACATTCCGATCTTCAACTTGGAAAATTGTGTATCTGTAAAGAAGATGAAAGCCGTGAAGGTTGATAGTTTGGAAGTTTTTGTGCTTGGAAAATCTCCTCTATTAATGGAGTTAATTAGCAAAGCGCACGCCGAATGATATGTGGCCGTTGATAGATTGAGAAACTTACGTGTAACGGCGATCTGTTCAGTCGATGCAGTTTCTAAAGATTTAATAGTTTTAAAAACTTGAAAAAAACAGTTTTGGTCTTTTGTAAAGATCTTTGATGAATATGAAGGTTATGGTTGTGTTTCGTACAGTTGGAAGAGTGATGGGGTTGTTGAGGTGGTCGAAATTTGAAGGTCCTTGAGTGTATATTTCCAATCTTGATTGTGCGCGCTAGTGAGATTGTAGGTGAATTCTCACTTCTCACTGACGGTTTATCACGGCATAATCAGAAAGGCTGTGAATGGAGAAACTTGCTCATTTTGTTGACACCGTCGCATAGTGAATGTTTTTCAATGTGGGGCTCAGACAACTTCATTTCCACGACAACACTTGCAACTACGGCAGCCTTGACTCATTTCACTTTTAGAAAAGAAAACAGAAAGGACTTAGATTGCAAACTTCGGATGTCAGTACAATTCTATGATTGTATTTATTATATGATATTGCGAGATTAGACGAATGTCTAGTGGGAGGGAGTGAGACACTCGCTTAATGTTCCAAGTTTGCTAGATCTTTTGACCCACAATTCTATGCTACTAGAAACGATATCAAAGTGGAATGGAAACAAGCTGTTTGAATTAATGACCAGCAGATTAATCGCAGGCGAACAATTTTTAGAAAGTGTACAGGTAGATATGGCATGTAGTAACGCCAGGGTATCCAATAGTCCGGACTGCAGTCTAATAATATAAGATTTAAATGTCTAAAAGCAATTAGAAATTTGAAAATAGTTCAGTGTTCTAATTAAATTCAAGATCTGAGATGATCTGATGGCACTTCATTACGCTACAGCTACAGAGATTCCGATGCCGGAGAGAAAACGGTACTGGCTTATCAATATCTGAGGGTGAATTTCTCCAGGTGCGCGAGCACACCTCGGCAGTCAGCTATTCTAGGGTTATAATTGCTTTTCGGAAAGATCATGACAATATTCAGGTAACCAATCAAGAGACTTTGATCTTCAAAAGAATCATATACGACTGACTACCTCGGTATCTAGTTAATATCAATAAATGACTGCGAAAGCCGAGCAAGTGTTAAACGTTGATCTTTCAAAGCACAGATGCGGATATCCATGTTCAAAGTGTGGACGCTTTCGGGGGCTATTGCTTTTTCTCGCCTTGTAATGTAAAATTTATTGGTCTTTGAGTGGTGACTTGTAGTCTACAGCTTGTAATCCAATTTCAAATCATTCCAAGTGTAGTGATGCCTTTTATTCATAGGTATGGTTTCACCCTCGTCAAAGAATCTCTTCGGGAAAGATACCAGCGCTCTTCACCGTTCTTCAGGGCATACTTGAAAGAGATTTAGTGCTGTCAAAACTATATTTCAACGACCATTCATGACGTCATAAGCAATGTCATTATTAACTAGTATGCTTTGTCCACCGCTCTTCTAGGAATCAGATTTGGGTTCCCATTTTGATAACTGATGTTGTGATTACATCCATTAACTTAATTCTATCCTTGGTATTGTACTGACCTGTGCGAATAGTTTGATTATTTTATTACTAACTCCAGCTTTCTCAAGCCGAGTATTATCAATTATTTTGACTTGTTGATAAGCATACTTTAAATTCTGGGACTCGTGATCATTTAACTACCTGCCTATCATCTATTGCAATCTGAACGTAGGTGCATGAGCCTTGATTATATAACCAGATAAAAGATTACAGAGATACTGACACCATCATTAGAATGAATCCCCGTCGTCTAAAGTCCCAATCAGCTTCCCTACCTTGAAGTGTTTCCCTGTAGTGACAGAATCCATGGTTGACAAAGTGATTCTTTTGTAATTGTCATAAATTCTATAATATCTTTATTATATATTAAATAAATCGTTTTTAAAGTATTAATATAATTAATCTAAATCTTCATATTTTATAAAACTTATTCTAATCAATAAGTTCTTAGTGAATTTTTTGAATTCTAAAAGATTGATTAAAAGTTTTGGTTTAAAATAATAATTATCTATTAAATAAAAAGCTTCTAAATTTTACTTGTTTTTCAACCCTTCCCCCTTTCTTTCTCTTTTTTTCCTTCTAAATTGATTTCCTATTAGATTTCAATAAAATAATAGAAAAGTTCTTTTAAGTATTTCAATTAGAATCTATTAAGGATTACTAATCTTTCTATTATATTTTTATTTATTGAATTCAAATTTATTTATATATAAATTTAAATCAGATCATATTCTTGTTTATATAATATATTCTGTATTGTATAGTATAGTGATATAACTTGTAATTTTACTTAAAAGCTTTTTTGTAGGTTTCCTTTATATAATATAATTTACTAAAAGGACTCTATTCCCTTTTAAACTTTCAGCTAATATCTTCTATTCATTTCTTAGTTTCTATACTCATTCCTTTTTTCCTTTTTAACTCTTATTTATCTTTTTAACTTTCTATGTATATATCTTTTTATTCATTTTTCTCTTAATTCTAATATTCAAAAATCTTGAAAGCTCTAAGGCCTTTCAAGGTTCTCATTTTCTTTTTTTTAATTAAAATTCAATAATAAACAGATTACAAAAAGAATCGATTTAATTTGTCAATAACAAAAAGCTCTATTTATCACTAACAAATATATATATTAATATTGTAATATACGAAATAGAAATTTGTATAGGGATTTATATTGAATTTATCTTCGTCCGGAATATTAACTTTGTCATTACTGGGTTTGTGCAAATACCTAGCCTTGAGAATAAACCCCACATTGAGCTCTGCGAATGGACATTCGGGCACTGTATCTCAGGCTAGTAAAGAAACTGAAAGAATACATTCAAACAGGAACTATTGGCTTCGATAAATTCATTTTGATTTACAAATATTGAGCTAGAGATCAATCCCATCATAAGAACGTTTTTTGAGGGCACATCTTGAGTAAGGGCCTATTATATTGATGGTACTGCCGGATACCTAGATTGCTGCTAGGCATTGGATCAAAATAATGAGACAGAGACCATGAAATCAGAAGGTTTCAAGCCGTCTATGACTCCAAAGAAGAAATGATTAAGCTTTAGAGTTAAGATTTTGGCATTATAGTTAAATCACCATAGAATCTTGTATACGGTTTAGCTTTTCTTTCTCACATGGAACATACCTATCTCCAATATCTATCTCCATAGAACTATAGCACGAATGTTCACTCGCTAACAAGGCTTGAAGGTCGGTAATCATTGTCGCCGCATCGAATGCCAAGCTTACTTCATCTTCAGGCATACTAACTACATCACGTTGTGACTATTGGATATCGAATTGCCAATTTGACTTGCATGGTTCTCTTTCTATCAAAACCCAAGATCGCCTCTTCAAATTCGTGATTGGAGCTACGATTCAGCTGTTGATTTGCATGTTTCTCTCACTTGGTGGCCCTATAATGCGAGTCATTTACCGCACCACCGGATCTGTGACCCCGATAAGACTCTTTTATTGTTGTACAGCCCATTCTCACAATGCCCTCTACAAATCGCGGTATCGCCTATCACTATACTGTCAGTCTTGCCACAATTAGTGCAGCCTGCTATTCCACACCATCAACTTCTAGTCCCGCGAAAGGTATGCCCCAGCGAATAGCTATTCATTCATATGGCGGTGGCTATGTTCTTAGTAGTTATCGATCCGTAGACAGCGGATAGAAACTCGGAGTTCTTTTCAAGCATCTAAAAACTTTTATTCGATAAGTACAATATCGTCTTGTGGTTGAGAAGATAGCATGTGTTACAGCTGTTCTGTCCCTGTGGTGGCAGAATCCATGGTTAACGAAGTAATCCTTTCGTAATTACTATAAATTCTATAATATCTTTATTATATATTAAATAAATCGTTTTTAAAATATTAATACAATTAATCTGATTGTTATATATAACAAAAGTTTTTTATTTTAAAAATACTTTATCATTTTTAATGAAATTTATCACCTCTTTTTATATTTAAATTCAAATATTATTATTTTTTATTATATCTGAAATATATATTTATATATAGATTGGTTATTATATTTTGAATTATATATTTATATAAAAATTTGAGAGTATATAAATTAAGATCTTATATGAATCACAAAATTATAAATAAAAAATATATAAAAATAATATTATAAGTTTTATAATTAGTTTATCTCTATTTCTCCTTATTCCTTTTTATCTCTAAGATTATAATATCTTTATTATCAAATTTCTAGATTATACATTTATTTGATTTCTTTTCTATATTTCAATATGATTACTTCTTCTTTGTTTGATATCTGGGATTATTAGAGTATTCTTTTAAATCTTTTTATTCTTTTGAATTGAACTTCTATTTCGATTATTTCGATTAAATACTCTAAATAAAGAAAGCTTTAATAAATTATAACTTTTTTTTATTATATTATAATAATAAAAATATATTATCCTCTAATTTCTCCCTACTCTTTTCAAATACAAATTATTATATTCCCTTTATATATATTTCCCTTTATTTTCAAGAGGCTCTTCATTAATACTATCTTATTCACCAATACTCTCTTATTCATTAATACTATTCTATTTATTAATATTATTCTATTTATTAATACTAAATTATTTATTAATACTCTTTTATTTATTAATATTTTTTTATTTCTTAATATTTAATAAATCCTTGGTTTTTAGATTACTTCCCTTGAGATTATAAATAGATTAGAATTATAATAATAAAATCCTTGATAAAATTAGTATCACTTTTATTAGACTTGATATTATACTTAATCCTTGAATATTCATATTATTAATATTAAAAAAAGACAATAACTCTATTTTAATAGAATATATAATATTTCTCTAAATACCTTGATATTGTTAATCTTTGAAATCAAATATTAAATCTCTATTTTGCTTAAATATTTTTATAGGATATTAGATTAAATAAAATCTAATTTCTTTTAGTATAAAACTTATTTCTTAAAAAGCTTATAGAGCTTTGATTTTGATATCTTCTTTTCTTTAGTATTATAAGTCTTTTTTTATTGTTTTATTTATTTTATATAATAGTAATATAAATAGTATTCATAAACTATAAATTCTCAAAATTATTTAAATTAAGGAATTCATTTAGAATATTATTTTGAATATACTATTGAAGAATAAATAATAATACTTTCCAATTATAGAAATTGTCTTGCTTTTATATACACTTCAATTAATTTTGTATATAAATTTAGAAATATATAAATATATTAGAATTATAATTATCTTTAAAATATTAAACTAGATATCCTTTTATTATATCAAAAATCGTTTTGAAATTCATTATTATTCTTTTTCTATATCTAGATATTATTATATTTGATATTAAAGTAATAAATAATCTATTAATAATGATTATATAAGTCAAAGGATTTTGTTGTTCAAATTAATTCCTTTGAATTAAAATTTGAGATAGAATTCTATTATATTTTATTAAGATAATAGAAAACCATAATATATTAAATATAACTTCGTTTAATAATTTTTGAATAAATTGATAATATAAATAATATTAAATTATTATTTGAAGGAGTATTTAATACTTTTAAATATATTTAGGGTTATTATTATTCTGTATCCATATTCTAATATCTATTTCAATTTTATTAATACTTTCTTAATAATACTTTTACTTATATTTAATATCCCTAATTTACAAAAATAAATAAATAAAAATAAATAAAAATAAATAAAAACAAGTAAAAACAAATTTAAAAAAAATCAGTTTTTATATTCTTGGAAATCTTTTTGTATTATAGTAAAACTAATATTATTAATTTCTATAGCTTTTTTTAATATTTATTATAATAACCTAGTGTTCCTTTTTATAATAATAGTTTATTTTATATATTATATTATATTCTATAGAACTATATATTTTAATATATATTTATATAAAAGAAATAAAGACCTACTATTAAAACAAATAGTTAATATTATTTCTATAGTTTTTTATAATACCTCAATTACTAAGAATTGAAATTAGAGATTTATTTTAATTATTTAAACTACTTGTTATATAAACCTTATAAATATTACTTAAAGTATAAGATTTGTTTAAATATTAATATAAAACTTAATCTCTTTTAACAAAAGCTTTATATAAAATTAATTTAATAATTCGATATCTAAATTTAATAAACAATTTCTATTTACTCAAATTACAAATTCTTTTTTTATTAAATAAAATTCTTTTTAGTTTATATTTAAAAATAAGTATTTTAAACTTCTTAATACTTTTTTTAACCTTAGACTTTTTATTAATAATAAATTTTCTTATTTCAATATTTTTAATTGTTTTATTATTATATTAGCCTCTTATATTATTTATATAATCTTTAGATTCAATAAAGAAGGAAAATAGAGCAAAAAAGTTTTAATAAAATAAAATAAAGGAGTTTTGATAAAATGAAATAAAAGATTACTTTTGAAAACATTTTGAAAAGTAAAGAAAAAAAGAATCTAGTTTATAAATCGAAGTATTCTGAAGTCCTTATAAAACTTCTTGATTTATTATATTTTTTGATTATTTAATAATCTCTACTCTTTTTAATTTAACAAATTTCTATAAATATTATTTTTATATTAATATTATAAGATCTTTTATATTATTCAAAAAAATTAAAATACTTTATATATAATCTTAAGTCTTTCAATAAATAAAAATATTAATAGTATTATTATAATAAAATAAAGAGTTATATATATCAAAAAAAGTAATTATAATTATAATCTTTTTATTATAATATTATTTCAAATTAGAAAAAGAAAATATTTGTATAAAGAATTCCAAAATTCTATTTATAAAATAAATAAAATAAATATAATTATATAATTCAGTATATTATTTGTATTCTCTTTGCTTTTTAATATTAATCAAGATTAGTATTTACAACTAATCACTATTTCTCAAGCCTCTTTATAATAAAAACTTATTCTTTCTTTTAGTTTAATTTATATTTCAAATATTAATTTAATTAAATCAAAACAATTAAAAAACACTTATATTTCCTATCTAAAATTATATTTTTTAAAAGATTAAAAATATTATTGTCACGGAAATCACCGTCTTATGTAACACTACGTGATTGAGCATAGTACTTCTCTAAAATACCTATTTATATGATTACAAAACACTCTTTTATTATTAATATTAATAAACTCTATTAATCTAATTAAGCAATTCTATTATCTAATTCAGATATATAAGATAAATATAATTCTTATAATCATATCTCAAGTCAATCTAGTTTATTATTATTATATATATTTATTTCCTAATCAAAGTAATCAAATGATATAGTTATTCTTTATAATAATTATAAGTCTGATTAGTATTTAAACTATATATATATATATATATATATCTTTTAATTTACTTCAAATATAAAATATCCTTTTATATTTAATTTTATTATAATTTGTTATATTAAAATACAACTTCTCAAAAGTTATTTGATTAATTATCTATAAATATTAATTAAAATGGTTTTTATATTTATAATATCTTTATATATTGAAAGATATCTAGAAGAATATTAAATTATTTAAAGACAAGATTATTCTGATTACTCTAATTGAAATTAGAGAATCCTTAAAAGATAATGAAAATTTTTATTAGATAATCTCTATCTATAAGAAAGACTAGTTTATTAAGAATCTATTTGAACTTATTAAGATTTTAGAACTTATAAATAAATACAATATAATTAATCAAGTAAAATATAAGTAAAATCTTATTATACATCAAAATAAATTTAAATAAGATTAAGAAGGAGATATTTAAATGAATTTTATTCCTTTATTTACTTTTTATATTTTTTAGAATATTTCTATAAAGTATTTAATATTATAAGAAGAATATTATAATAAAAGAAATAAATATAATACTATATATAAATTGTATCAGAATATCTATAAATGGATTACTGAAATAATAAATATTTCTTATTCTATAGAATTAATAATTGAAAACAATGAATTTAAAGCCTTACTATTCAAAGCAATTATTCAAAAACTATAGAATAAGCTTATATCTATAATTACAATAGAAAAATCAATTATTATATAGGAATATCGAAATATTCTTTAATAAGCAACTTTAGATTGAATTAATTCTATTAAATAATATAACAAATAGATTAAAGTTTATACGAGTATAAAATCTTATTATATTAAGATTGAGAATAATTTAATGATTATTAACTTTTTATAGATTATAAATATATGAATACTTTTTATATAGGCTAGTACTATATTTATTTAGATTGAGATTAATAATCAACTTGGAATCCCTAATTACTTTTTAAAGCAATTTGAAGATATTTTTAATGAATTAATTTATCAAGATTCTTTAATATCAAAAGGCAAGGATATATTCTCAATAATCAATTTTCAAACCAAGCAAAACCCAGGTAATCCATAAGGAAAAGAGAATATATAAAAAAGAGAATAATTTAAGAAGAATAATAATCAATATTATTGTTCTTATAAGTTAGAGTTTGATTAGAAAAATGGAAAAGCTGATTCCAGATATTATTCTAAAATCTATTAATTAATAGAGCTAATTCTTATAAACAAATATAGCTCTAGGAACTTATTTACTTTAACTAAGAATGAATATAATAATATATGAAAAAGAATCAAGGATA